TTTTATGGAGTAACGCAATATTGTAATGCATCACTTTTAAAAGTATCTTTCCTCAACACTGCTGAGCAGAACTGCGTCTTAAAGAAACAGTTAAAAAGGAAAATCGTGCCAAGACTTGCTTTCAGAGAATATACACTGAAATGTATTATTAAAGTATGATTGCGTCTTGTTTCAAGCATAAGTGGTGACAAATACAGATTAAAAGAGGTTAAAAAGATATATAAATCCTGGGTTTGAATCGACAAACATTCAACATCTTTAAATCTGCTTACGACTTGCTTTCAGAGAGTGTGTTATAATGATTAACTATCAGCATAAATCCACATTTTTGTCATGTTTATGTTTAAAATTATACACATACAGATTAAATGAGGATGGAAATGCATTTCTTTCTGGAACACAAAAGCATCTTAAAGAAACGGTTCACACAAATATGAAAATTGCATCGACGCAAAAGTTAAAGATCGTGGCTGAATATGACACGGGTTTGAAACGACACGAGAGTGAGTAAACAGAGTTCATCCTAAACATTTCCAGAAGAGTCCGATGTTTGAAGAAAGAGGCCGACCGCACAGAAACGACTTCCAGCTTATTAATTATTCAATTATCTGTGCGAGGACGAGCGGCCCATCTGCGGATCAGCCCTATTCTTCATTGATTGGGAGAGACAGACGCGGGATCGTTTTACTCCATTAGCAGCAGGACCGGACCCGGGCCCTTTATTGTAAATGAGGGGCACTATTGTGCGATCTGTCACCGAAAGCATTGGAGCCGTCAGGAGAGAGAGGACTCAGATGTCACCAGTAGACGCAGTGTCTCGCTCTCGCTCTCGCTCTCGAGGAGAAGGAAAGACATGCTCATGGTTTCAGAGTCACAGACGATCTGCTTCTGCACATCACGAAACGTCACGACCGACCGATATAATGAAGACTCAAGAAAGAAACAAACAAAAAAGAGAAAAAGAGAAAGGAAGGAAGAAAGAAACAAAAAAGAGAAAGGAAGAAATTTGGTTATCAAATCAAAAATCAGTTATCGTAGCGCTGCACAATTAATGGGAATTCTAATCATTATTACAAATACAGATGCTACAATTATATAATCGTTCACAGGCGCAATTACAAAACAAATCTAATTACATTATTCTGTGTGTTTTTCTTTCCACAGCTTTTCTTACGGGTCTCCTATTGTTTTAGTATAACATTATAATGCCATGCATAGTTTTGCTCTTTTAGGTTTAAAGAAGAAAGCAAAGCAATCTAGAGTTGTAATTTGAGGCGCAGTGCTCTAGAAAAGCATTACAGGTTTGTCAGGAAGAGTGTTTTCAGCTTGTTTATTTTACTTTAATATAAATATATGGCATGAAGTGTCTTCAAACAATGGTGTAAAGCTATTCAGAAAACGTCATTCAATGTAAACTGTTATAATCGTAATTAATATCAAGGGAATAATCAACAATTATGATTTCTGTCATAATCGTGCAGCCCTAAATTATAGGGATTTTTGTGTAAAAAATGTTTTATGTAGTATTGTTTTTGCTAAATCTGGCACATTTTACATTGATTTTATTTACACGGTTTATTTTTTTTATTATTGTCTTTTTATTTATTTTTTTTGCATATTTTATATATATTTTTGTAACTTTTTTCACACTTGTATATTTTAGTTTTTATGTATTTTTACACATTTTTATTGGTTTTATTTTTGTGTTTTTTACTATATTTTTTTACAATTTTTTTTTATTTACATTTTTTTATGTATTTATTTATTTTGTTAATAATTTAAGGTTTTATTAATTTTTTTACATTTTATTTACAAACAAACACACAAATACTGAAAAATGAATTTCCTTTTCTCCTGATGTCACCTAAGCCTAATAATGTTAGTTAAAGTTAACAACCAATAGACAAATAAAGCAATATTTGAGCAAAATCACATTCAGGTCTGACCCCATTCTGCAATAAAGCGCACAGTTTTCACATCTCAATCACCTCCTAATAGACAAAAAAAAATTCTTATTGAATAACTAGTTTCACTCAGAAAAACATCAGATCACAAAGTTCAGTGTTCGATATCACACGCTATATCAGTTCCTGGCCAATAATCACACATCTGGAAAAGCCTGGCGAGAAATCTGATCCACAGTTTAAAAAACAATATTATTATTAGGTATCACGAGTCCTTTGATTCTTAAAGTGGCTCAAAAACACTTAAATAGATGAGAAACTAAATCCGCTGCTCATCTGACAGCAATGAAGAGCTCAAACTCGCAGCTATGATCACAGTCTGATGCACCTGTTTTATTACAATTCATCTCCAAAGGTCTGTTATAAAGCACTTCTCGCAAAACCACACGGTGTTTTCTCATTAGAGGAACAACACTGACCTCCAGTGGCTGCAGACAGACATTCAACCAGAAAAAAATTTATAATTTTTAGAGCAAAATGAGACAAAAACGCTGATTAGGAAAATCATTTTAGGAGCACACACAGACAGATCTGTCAAATATGATGAATGTAATCAAGGCAGACTGAATAATAAGGCTGAGGTTGATGGGATAATACCAGTCCTTATTCACAGACAGTGAATGGCGTAGTTTGAAAGCTCACACATGCATGTGTAAATACTGCTAAAACACCAATGCAAAAAGAGCTACAGTTGTACAGACGTGCTCGATCGCTCAATGAGAGAAGAGAGCGACAGAGAAAGAGAAAGGAGTCGCTCGCGTAAAAAAAACCAAACAGTGAAAATGGCTAAAAAACACAAAATCCTCTCTCCTTCTGTCTGGATCCTCTGACCATTTCAGCACGCGAGCAAAGAAACGCTACACACATAAGATGCACATCTCAAACTAGTCGCCAGGTTAGATTTCTACTCATACAGAAATCTAATATATGACATACATTACAGAGCCCTAAATCAAGAGTCATGTTGCAACATATATATTAACTATAAGGTGATATATATCATTTTCACAGATCAGATGAAGATATAAGTTTATAACATTTGCACGTTTTACTATGGGGATTTAATAAATGCACATATGTTAATATCTATATGATGATTGTTTTTTAGGTATTATATGTAGCACGCAACCATATACAGAGTGTGAACAATGTATATTTTATTTATATGTGCAACTATTAAAACGATATATATACAAAAAATCTATATATTTTAACTTTTTGTTATTTTTGCATTTCTTATTACACTTTTTTTTTTTATGTGTATTTTTTTATTAATTTTTTACGGATTAACTGAAATTAATTCCCTTTTCACCTGGCGTCATGTTTTTGTAATAATTTTTTTAATACATCTATCTTTTTTTACTCATATAATAACATGTATTTTGACAGGTTTTAGGATGGATATACATGCACATGACATATTCGTCCAAAAATGTATTACACATTCATAAACATACATTTGTATGGGCTAGATATGTTAATATATGAAACTGTTCAAGTTCCTAATTTCATACGTGTTTTTACTTCATATGACAATATTTAAAATGGAAACATGCATACATATATATATATATATATTATTACATATGCATATGGGTATTTTAAGCGTGATTCACCATTCACCAATCAGATGCATTTCTAAGCAATTCATGGATATCACCGAATCAGCTGACAGAAATTCAACAAATAATCAGCCTTGCATGACATAAAACTGCCATCGTTCACAAAAAACCTACAGATTCTGAATAATCACATGAGCGCTGCTCACAGCAGATGAGCAAAGTGTTGTAAACTATATTAAAAATGTATTTTTAAATGCATCCTGTTTAAAGCAGCACCGCTAAAAGAGAACAATCCACACAAAGCCACTAATCAGCCTCAATGACAAACCAGTGCTTGATGCAGAACTCATCTCTTATGCGTAAAGTGAGGGTCTATGCACGTACCAGTTTGTTCTCCTGCATGTAGATCCTCTGTAGTTTGCTGCAGCCCTGCGCCAGCGCCACCAGACCCTCGTCACTGATGCTGTAGCACTGGCCGAAATGCACGTCCTTCAGCTCTTTGCAGTGTACAATATTATTATTAGGTATCACGAGTCCTTTGATTCTTAAAGTGGCTCAAAAACACTTAAATAGATGAGAAACTAAATCCGCTGCTCATCTGACAGCAATGAAGAGCTCAAACTCGCAGCTATGATCACAGTCTGATGCACCTGTTTTATTACAATTCATCTCCAAAGGTCTGTTATAAAGCACTTCTCGCAAAACCACACGGTGTTTTCTCATTAGAGGAACAACACTGACCTCCAGTGGCTGCAGACAGACATTCAACCAGAAAAAATTTATAATTTTTAGAGCAAAATGAGAAAAAAACGCTGATTAGGAAAATCATTTTAGGAGCACACACAGACAGATCTGTCAAATATGATGAATGTAATCAAGGCAGACTGAATAATAAGGCTGAGGTTGATGGGATCAAACCAGTGCTTGATGCAGAACTCATCTCTTATGCGTAAAGTGAGGGTCTATGCACGTACCAGTTTGTTCTCCTGCATGTAGATCCTCTGTAGTTTGCTGCAGCCCTGCGCCAGCGCCACCAGACCCTCGTCACTGATGCTGTAGCACTGGCCGAAATGCACGTCCTTCAGCTCTTTGCAGTGTTCGCCCAACTGCACAAAACACACAAACATGCATTCGGGTCAGTACAGCCATACGACTGGATACAACAAAGCTTCACAAACTTTTTTTTTCTCCATCAGCCGAACCCCTATGAGCCACCATAATAGATCAAATATTATAACAGATAAAATAATAAAATAAAATTTAGCAACACATTCGCATGTTGACGGTTCTCTTACACCGATCAAATTCAAGTCCTTTTAAGGTGCATTTTTATGCAACTAACAGTTGTGGTAAATTACATATCAGAAGTTGCATATGCAGATCTGCACTGCTTTGCTCAGATATATTTGTTTTGATTTTTATAAATACACTATGCAATATTAATTAGTAATTATATAACATAGTAAACAATTTAATAGATTATAGAGTATTCTGCAATTACAGCCAAGCTGTATAAAGCGTAAGCATCCTAACCATATTATCCTATGTTATCTAAAACATACACTGTTTAGTCAGAGAGTGACTTATTATGAAAGCAATGCAATTACAATTTCAAGCACTTTAGCCAAACAATTCAAGCACTTTTCAAAACTTGAAAATATGGAAATGCAAGCATTTTCAAGAATCCCCAGCACCCGTATGAACCCTGCTAGTTAATGGTCACATGCAGCAGGTAAACAAAAAATTGATTTTTTTGTGTGTGTGTGTATAAGTGTTTTCATTTGAAATATTTTTACAAATATTTTTATTTTAAACATTTTTTAAAATATTTTATTTTTATTATTATACCATTACCCTGACATGAAACTACACAGACCATAACATGATAATGATCATACAACAACAAATAAGAATATCACATAAAACATGGATGGAAATGGTGCTTTATTTGCAAATCTTCACTTCCTGGGAAACTGGTGCTGAGGATTAATAAGTAGATTACTTGCTTTTCATCAGTTGTAATAACAAATGCTGTTATGTGACTTTTTTGTCACGCTTTCAGGAAATTAGTTTCTTTCATATTTTATGAACACGTTTTCTTATCAAATAAAAACAAATATCCTCCTGAATGAAGTGCATAAGTTTTTAATGTGCATTTTACGATTTTCCAGTGTTTTTTTAATGCAATATCCCAAAATTCACATTAAAATATGCACATAGAAACATAGCTGTTAACTCATAAGCACACATATATTTATCCCACGCATCCATCACGTGACTTTAGATCTGTCCATGACGGCAGCTCACCAGTTTGAGAGCGTGGTCAGTGAGTTTGTCCTGGTTGCCGACATGCACTTTCTGCAGGAGCGGGCAGTGGATGGCCACGGTGCACAGAGACACGTCGCTGAGCTGCTTACAGCGGTACGCCGTGTATTTGATCAGACCGGGACAGTTAGACGCCAGAGAGCAAACGCCGTGATCCTGAACGTTACGGCAGTCGGAGATGTTGATCTCAGTGACGTTCTGCCTCCGGGACGCGATCTTCACCAGGAGGTCGTCTTTAACCTGTGCTCACACAGACAACACATCAATGTTATCTTCATATTATTATTATTATTATTATATGTGACCCTGGACCACAAAACCAGTCATAAAGGTACATTTCTCGAAATTGAGATTTATGCATCAGCTGAAAGCTGAATAAATAAGCTTTCCATTGATGTATGGTTTGTTAGGATCGGACAATATTTGAAAATCTGGAATCTGAGGGTGCAAAAAAATCTAAATATTGAGAAAATCATCTTTAAAGTTGTTCAAATGAAGTTCTTAGCAATGCATATTACTAATCAAACATTAAGTTTTGATATATTTACGGTAGGAGTGGAACTAAATATATACTATATATCTTCATGGAACATGATCTTTACTTAATATCCTAATGATTTTTGGCATAAAAGAGAAATGTATAATTGTGACTCATACAATGTATTGTTGGCTATTGCTACAAATATCCCCCAGCGACTTAACACTGCTTCTGTGCTGCAGGGACACAAATATCATTTATAAATTTTTTGAATTAGCTTTTATTTTTTCCATTTTAGATTTTAGTAATTTTGTTTTGTGATTGTGATGTTTAGTGATTTTTGCTTTTGTCATTTTATTAGTTTTTTTATACATTTCCATTTAGCTTTCATTTCTATTTCGGTTTTAGTTTGAGTGATTTTACTACTTGCACTTAAATTTCAGTTAGCTGTCAAGGTAACACTTTAGTTTTTTTGAGCTAATATTTGTTTTATTTCAGCTTTATTTTAATTAAATTAAAACTATTTTTATTAGTTTTAGTAAACAATAACTTAGTAAACAATAACTTGCTGCATAAAAATACAATAAAGCTTTCAGCTATAGTTCATAAAAAAAATTAAATAAAAAAAAAACTATTTGCGTAATTAGGGATGCATGATTTTTTTGCGATTTAAAATACAATTTTCTTTTTTAAATCCAGGTTTGCTGTACTTGTTTATAGGGCTGCACAATTTGCCCAAAATTATAATTATTTCTTATTAATAACAAAATAAAAACCAAAATAAATGTTACTACTGAAATATTTCAGTGTAAAATACAAACAAATTGAGTATTTAAGAAATATAATAATAATCACAACTGTAAAATTACCATGCTAATATTTTTTCCAATATTAAACCACTGAACTTTTATTTTGACTGAAAACTGCAGGAAGCCTTTTTTTTTTTGCCAAGTGCTTTTCATTACAAGTTTGGGAACATGGTTGGTACACGTTGAGTTCCCAAATGCTTTTCTTTTGATTAATCACGCAGCTCTAATAGTTATGCACACACCACAGATAATTCTATAACTAACACCGTTCTATAAATAAGAGATAAGCACAAACCTGCTGGAGGCCGCTGAGATCAATCTGTTTCCAGAACTGGAAGTCTAAGCAGAGATCGCGCCAGTACTTACAGACCAGAGAAGCACCCAGACATCTCTCCTTCACCGACAGGTGAGAAAACACCTGAGAACACATTTCACATGGGGTTCATCGACAGCTCATCTGTTCAAATGCATGAATGAATCAAGATCCGTACTGAAATTAGGAAAAAATATTGAATCTGAGGATTTCAGCAGCAGGTTTATATCATGCTGCTCATTACTTTTGTACAAAAAATAGTTCTGGTATTGTGTTGGGGCACTAATTGATGTCCAAGCCACTGGTTTAAGGCAAGACAAATAACTAATACATATACATACATATATATATATAACCATACTTCCCCAGCTAATTGATTACATTAAGAATTGCAAACATTGATTGTATTGCAAATTTTCTGAAATGTTATGTTTAAATGCATTTGAACATCGGATAAATCCAGGTTAAAATTCTTGATTGTGTTGATATATTTAGAGTTAAAGGTTCTTCCGGAGGGGATTATGGATTTCTCTTTTTATCACTCCATAAATCAAAAACAAAATGTGTGAAATACACATTTTCACCATGTCTTTAGGTATAAAATCAGGTGAATGATATATGATCCAACCCTCAGTGAAAACCTTCAGAATATAGAGAGGAATAAAACTGTAAAGTCTGGTGCAGGTAAGTGCTGCTGAAGTGGAGAGAAAAAAAATTCGGCATTTAAAAGATATGTATTATATATTATATTTGAATACCACAGACACAAATAGATAAAGTGCATTAATAAACACTTAAATGTGTATTTTGGATGTTATGACATAAAAGACATGTTATGAAAATATTATATATTATATTTGAATACCACAGACACAAATAGATAAAGTGCATTAAATAAACACTTAAATGTGTATTTTGGATGTTATGACATAAAAGACATGTTATGAAATGCCAAATATCTCAAAATCTGTGACCAGTGCATGAAAAAAAACATGCTTTTGCTGTAATGTTTGAGACGTTTTTAACTCAAATACGAGTCCATAATCCGTAATAATGCTTCCTCCAGTGAAAAAGTGCATCTCCTGTTGTCTCTCACATTAAAATCCAGCCACATGTTTGTTTAGAGCTGTTTGGGCTTTCTTGACCCGTGCAGATTTCTCTCCTGATTCAGACCGCTTTTTCACTGGAGGTAGAGCTATTATGGACTCGTATTTGAGTTAAAAATGTCTTAGTGCTGGGTTTGTTTCAGCTTTTGTCTTCTCCAGATGTTAACTGATGGACTGGAGTGCTGTGGATTATTGTGATGTTTTTATCAGCTGTTTGGACTCTCATTCTGACGGCACACATTCACTGCAGAGCAAGTGATGCAATGCTACATTTCTCCAAATCTGATGAAGACACAAACTCATCTACCTCAGGACATTTTCACTGAACTATTCCATTAAAGAAAGTCACAGACCTTGAGCAGTATCGATGAGGGCAGCTGGTTAATGTGGGACGTGTCTGTACTTTCAGCGCTCTTTGCCTCCTCCGAGCTCTCGTTTTGGGACAGCTGACAGCAGCAGGAGGAGGAAGAGGAGGAAGAGGAGGTTGCGGCGGAGCCCGCGTCTGTATGCCGCCCCGCGCCGGAGCCATCCTCCTCTGAAGGAGAGGAAGAAGAGGAGGATGAAGGCAGCGAAGGGAGGAGGCACCGGCTGTCTCCTCGCTCCTCTCCGTTCTCCATGGTCTCCTGGAAGGCACAGCGAGGCTGCTTGCGGGGCGTACACCGCTGCAGCTCAGCACACTTGCGCTTGCACACCATTTCCGAATAGTCCGCGGCACAGAACAGCGCCGGGGGCCCGATCAGCTTGGAGAGCAGACTCCGACCCTGGCCCTCCCAAACGGCCAGCTCTCCCGGAGAGAGGAGGAACTTGGCGCACTCCTCGGGCGAGTTCAGTGACACGTAGCGCTCGGCGAGTTTGGAAGCCGCTGCCACCGCGCTCTCGAAGGGCCAGTCGTCCTCAACGCTCCCGCTGGTGCCGTGCACGATGAAGCACAGCATGCAGGGACCCTGAAGGAAGCAGTTCCTCCTCCTCTTCTTCTTGCGCAGCTTCCGTGATTTCTTCTTCAGGCTGTAACCATTTTTTGAGAGAAAATGGCCCATATAGATGATTCACGGCGACTCTGGGGAACGAGAGAGCAAATTACAAACAGAAAATGAGACCGTATACAAGCAGTAAAAACTGCTTGGTTGAAGTCATATTTACAAGTTTACTTCATTTTTGTTACATTAAACAAATCAAATAGCAACGGCTGGAACTGTAAAATATCTGCTACTAGTGCAACATGACATGCAGACATAAATGTATTTATCAAAAATATATTTATCCCACAACTTAATTTGCTGCATCATCATTATATGCAAAATCATGGCCAGGTTGGACTAATTTGATTCAATTAAAACATGGCCACGATTTACTAAACCAAGGGAACAAATTAACACAACATGGCCTTGATTTACTAAAACGAGAGAATGAATTAGTTACTAAAGCAAGGCCACTGTTTACTAAAACAAGGGAACAAATGAACAACATCACCTCAATTTATTTAAAAAAAACCGAACAAATTTGTATAACATGGCCTTGTTTTATTAAAATGAGGGGAAGAATTACTAAAGCAAGGCCACGGTTTACTAAAACGAGCGAACAAATTTACAAACAAGGGAATGAATTAGTGCAACATAGCCACGATTTACTAAATCAAGGGTACCAATTAGTACAATATGCACAATATACAATATTAAACACTTGGTTGCGCTTTATATTAAGTGGCCTTAACTACTATTTACTTACATTTTGATTAATCATTTGGTACAATGCACTTATTGTGTACATGTTTTTTTACATTGTATTTATATTTTAAAAATACCTGCATGTAATTACATCTGTAATTACACTGTTGACCCATCCCTTACACCTTAAACCTACCCATACCACCAAACCTGTCCCTAACCTCACCCGTATCACTATCCTAACCCTAACCCTCAATAGCAGCAAGTGTTTTGCAATACAATATGAACACGATAAGTACACTGTACTTATTTTATGCAAGTAAGGCCACTTAATATAAAGTGGGACCAAAAACTTTTCTGTATTGTTTGACGTGTTAGTTTAAGTGTTCGCAGGTTCACAATATGTAGACATTTAAATAAACCAGCACAGCATGTCAACTTCTGATTCAATCATCCAATAGAGTGAGATTGGGGCGGGGCTATCAGTTTGAGTGACTAGTGGCAGACAGGAGGCGTGTTTGGGAAACATGTTTGACAACAGTCATTATTTATGCAGTTCAGTCTGATGACAGGACAGGGGTCAGCTGAATGAAGCTTCATTATCGCTTCTAAATGAGTGACATTTACTGCAGGCATCAGATTGAAGAAGCATCTTTTGCTCTGAACAGCAAATGTGCACTGAAAATTAGATTTTGACTCAGTTACATCTACACAAAACCATATCAAAGTATATTTGTGGCTGGTGCATCACGGTTTGAGCACTAGTTACTCCAAGTGCCTCAAAATCATTCTGACAGAACAATGAAAAATGAACTAGACACTTGATCCAGAGGAAACAAGGAAACACACACAGAAGTCTTACAAATGATTATATGAACAAACTACTGCACCAGCATGAGGCAGAGGAAGACCAATACTGAATGTCCATCTACTAAGTTAGCAAATGAACAAATGTAACCAATGTAAATACCATGAACATTTAATCCATTCGTACTATGGTCTATATCTATACCATGGTATCACCACAGTACTTTCTGCATGGATAACGAGTATATAGGACAGCAGGGCTGCATTATATGTCTCAGATATCAGGTATAATGTGTGAGTGAAGCTCTGTGCTGCTGTTATCTCTCAGCAGGAACCGTATAAACATTCACAAACAATGAAAGCCACTGTACGGAGCCACTGAGTGTTGTTGTGTTTCATTGAGTGATAGCGGCGGACGACGCCATTAAACTCCCTCGTGAGAAAAGAAGCAACACCGAATAACTGTCATAATAAAACCTCCCAATCCTCACCAGCTCCCGCGGCCCTCAGCACCTCCTTCCCGCGCTCTCATAATCCGCGAGACACAGAAACAGAAGCGAACAGACGCGCTCTCGCTGTGTCAAGCTGCTACAATGTTTCAAAACACTTCCGGATTTCAAATAAAAGAGGAAATCCCGCCCACGGCTCCAGATGAGAACGGGCGTTCATTGGCCAGATTTCCTGTCTGTATGGACGCGATGGCCAATCATCTGTGCCTTAAAGGGAACACTTTATATACAGCTATAACATTTGTAAACACTCTTGATGCGAATGCATCAGTGTTGCCAGGTCCGCGGTTTTCCCGCGGAATCGGGCTATTTTAAAGGGGTCATATGATGTTGCTAAAAAGAACATTATTTTGTGTATTTGGTGTAATGAAATGTGTTTATGTGGTTTAAGGTTCAAAAACACATTATTTTCCACATACTGTACATTATTGTTTCTCCTCTATGCCCCGCCTTTCTGAAATGCATCGATTTTTACAAAGCTCAGCTGTGATTGGCCAGCTATCCAGTGGGTTGTGATTGGCCGAATACCTCAAGCGTGTGACGGAAATGTTACGCCCCTCACCATACTGTGCTGCCCTGTCCGGCCGGAGACGAGACAAAAACATAAAACCCATTATAAACCAGGCATTCGTTGCATCCAGTGGGGACATAATTATTCCGATCACAAAAATCACACGAAATTTGCATCCTTATTTTTATCTCATGTAGGCTATTGTAAAATTATTTTTGAAATAGGCACTGAGGTCCACCCTATGTTACCCAGGTCCACTCAATTTAAAGTGCCCCTATTATGGATTTTTGAAAATTACCTTTCATGAAGTGTAACACAGCTCTAAGTGAATGAAAACATCCTGCAAAGTTTTAAATCTGAAAGTGCACCGTGTATAGAGTTATTGTCTCTCAAAAGAAAGAGTCAACTCGGAATCATTTAAACGAGTTGACGTCAACATCAAACATTAGCATATTTATGCCCGCCCACTTATTAGTCTTTTCATGTTGGTCTAAATTAAAATGCAAATTCATTTTTGCCACTAGGTGCTGCTTTTGGAGCGGTAAAAATAGAGGTTTCCTCTGTAACGCTGTACACAAAGCAGCACTGCGCTCACAAACGCTGCTTTATCAGGCGTTACAGGCATGATGAAATGAAAATGAGAACAATCGGACCAAGACTGGTCTTTAGTCATCGTCCCATCCATCATACCTGAGATCCCGTTTCTATTGGTTGAACTTCCCAACGATTACAAATTGCATTGGAAAACACCGCATCATCATCATCGCAATCGGATCTTAGATGTTCAAAGCAGCATGTAATATCACTCTAAAGCCTGGAATACACTTATACCCCGATTTACAGTCTGGAGAAGTCCACGCAATAGTTGTCGAAAGTCAGAGCCAGTCTGCAGAGTTGAGTCATCGGATTTCATAGAAAATTGCGTAGTGTATAATGGTTATGATGTTTTTAGCTTCAGACTTTGATTCCATCCAGTCGGAGGAGATCAACATTTTTTTCAGCCAATTTTGAACCATGTTTTCATTTGTCATGCATCTGCAACAAGGCGCACACTTCTGCATGAGTTTGTTGTGATCGGAGTGACTTTAAGTCTGGTAGTGTGTGATCCTCAGTCGTGTAGTGTATGATGCCCAGTTTTAACTTTGTGGCTGTTTACGAAGTCAGTAAGTGTATAATGACTAGCGTTTTAAAATCTGTTCCATGCCGTAATACGCTACTTTTAAAATCTGACCAGATTTTAAAACACTAGGCATCATACACTCACCGACTTTGTAAATAGTCACAGAGGAAAAACTGGCCATCATACATACAAAGTCGTTCCGATCACAAAAATCACACGAAATTTGCATCCTTATTTTTATCTCATGTAGGCTATTGTAAAATTATTTTTGAAATAGCCACTGAGGTCCACCCTATGTTACCCAGGTCCACTCAATTTAAAGTGCCCCTATTATGGATTTTTGAAAATTACCTTTCATGAAGTGTAACACAGCTCTAAGTGAATGAAAACATCCTGCAAAGTTTTAAATCTGAAAGTGCACAGTGTATAGAGTTATTGTCTCTCAAAAGAAAGAGTCAACTCGGAATAATTTAAACGAGTTGACGTCAACATCAAACATTAGCATATTTATGCCCACCCACTTATTAGTCTTTTCATGTTGGTCTAAATTAAAATGCAAATTAATTTTTGCCACTAGGTGCTGCTTTTGGAGTGGTAAAAATAGCCGTTTCCCCTGTAACGCTGTACACAAAGCAGCACTGCGCTCACAAACGCTGCTTTATCAGGCGTTACAGGCATGATGAAATGAAAATGAGAACAATCGGACCAATCACAGCAGATTAGCGTCATGCAAAGGAGGGGTTTGGAAAAATGAATCTTAAACGAATCGTTTGGGAGTCGTTAAGCAAATAAGGTAAAAATAAATGCATATTATAAAACCTTGCATGCATGTCAACCTGTTGTTGGGGACTCCCAAAACCAAAATATGAACATTTCATTACCCATAATAGTGGCACTTTAAAATTGCTTGCCTCGCCACTGGACTGGATGCTTTCAAATGATTTCCTATTGAACTGCAGTGTTCAAACAACAGGGCATAGTAATAAAAACATTCGGGGCTTGAAATATGAAATGTTATCATTACTTTGTTACCAGTACCAATGAATAATAACTATTTTCAATACTTTTAAAAAAGTAATCAACGTTCATCCGAATGATTGAAAACATGCGAATCGGATCGACTGTATCAAGTCAAAGCCTGACTCTCATTTAACTATTCAGCTAAAATAGTTGGAATGGAAATAAAGGAGAAGAAATAAAGTAATGAATTCCTGTATATGGGCGGATTGGCTGGATTTGTGCGTGAGAATATAGATTGTGATCATCATCCTTGATTTTACCTCATTAATTCTGACCTTTAGAGTACAAAGAAAGAAAAAATTATTAAATTTTTTTTTTTTTGGTTTAATTAAGCTTTGTTTTTCATTATGTGTTTGGTTAGCTTTTCTTGTACACTGCAAGAAATATTCTTCAAACAAGACTTTTTAAATATAGGGCAAATGTTATGTCTATTCCAGAAATTAATATAGGTTTTCTCAAATATTTCACAGAATATGTGGAGGATTTGGGCAAAATACCTCAGCATATGTTGCCTGTCAAGGGATGATATTAGAAAAATGCTATTAAACACTTTTGTTAGTAATAATGTAATATTTGGTTGAATATACAGTGAAGAAAAGGAACAACATATATTTTTTCCTTCTCTCACAAATGTAGGAATCAAATGTCAGATTGGTAGTGATTAGACAGTCATCATGGCGTCATATAGAGGTTCTCACAGCCATCTGCTGGAGTGCCCTTGCCAGTCATCAGAGGGCACTCTTCTGGACTGGTGTTTGTGTTCCCATCACCCCTTGCACGTATTAGTTCTCATTGTTCCCAGCTGTGTGTCATTTAGTCTTATCAGTTCTCCTATATATATATATACCATGTTCTGATAACCCTCATTTGCTTCAGTATTGTTTTCTGTTACGCTGTTTGTGGATTACCTTTTGCCTTTGTTTTCTGCTTGTTGCTCTGTTTTTGGATCTTTGTATTTTGTGGATTCATAAACTGCATTTGGATCTTATGTTTTCCACGAGTGATCTGTGACCGAATACTGAAGCCAACATCAGATCCAGCAGTTGGGCAGTTCTCTGTTTTCTTTTGGACCATGGGCGTTCATATTTTTCTTCCAGCCACTAGCAAGGAGCGGATGGCATGATTTCAGTCCTTGTTGGCTCTGCGCCAGCAGGGGATGGAGGTTGGAGGTTTTGCTCAGTTTTTTTGGACTTTAGCGGTGGGGCTGGATTACAATGATGCAGCGCTCAAGGATTTTTTTTAATGGTTGCCTGGATGAACCTCGGCCCCAGTGTGAGTTGGAAGCACTTCAGACTCTGGATTATTGGAGTTTTGTTAACTATCTGTTACCGCAGTTTAGTGGTATCACCAGGTCAGTCTGAGCCCATTGCAGTGCCCCCGGAGATGTCAGAGTCCGCTGTAACATCTCCAGAGAACCGGAAACGTAGGGTGAGGAGGAAGGCAGCCTTTTGGATCTTTCTTTTTCATGGATTAATAAAACTGTACTTGGATCTTATGTTTTCCACGAGTGATCCATGACAGTGGTAGGATGGGTTTATTAATGTACTGTTGACGCTGAAAATGAGAGGCTTGAATTTAGTTTAATAGAAAAATCAGTTTAAGGCAGCTTCCACCACAGGATAAAATAAATACAAAAAGGATTGTGTGTGTTTATTCACAATTTAGCTTTTTATTTTTTTTCCTCAGAATTCTTAGTTTATATCTTGCAGTTTTAGTTTTTTTTAGCGATGGATTAAATTAAGCACTGCTTCATAAAGTTTTGAAACCAGTGGGTCGGAGTGCATATCAAACTGCCGAAGTCTCGTGATTTCAGTAAATGAGGCTTCGTTACGTCACAACATGTCAACAAGTCTTGAACTGTTTCAGAATTTCAGTGGTTTGTATCCTTCATATTTAATGGTATTATAGGTTTGTTAATTGCATTGAATACATTTTAATTTCAATAAGACATTTGCAATATGTTTGTAAAAAATGTTTATATGCATGTTTGGGCTGAGTCTGTTGTAGTTACACAATTGACCAGCAGGGTGGCGTTTCGAAGGCTTCGAAACAGTGAATAATGTTGGTTCAAGCGATTCGAAGCTTCGAAAAGGTTTGTTTCTACCATCACTACTTTCATCTCACAATTCTGACTTTTTTCTCAGAATTCTGAGTTTACATCTCACATGATCACATCTGTGATATGAATTCAGAACTGTGAGATATAAACTCAGAATTGCCGGAAAAAAATTTCCATATTGTGAGTAAAATGAGTTTGTTAACGTTTACTGGTTTAAAAAAAAAACATGCAACAGTGTGTCAAATAGTTTTGATTCCAGCTGGTTCAAATGATGAATGATTGTAGTAAGTTTGCGTTGTTCCAGAGCTCTTAATAAAAGTGGTATGATTTTGGGGAAAGACAAAGGAGACAAAACCTCTGCTGGGCCTTTTTTACAATGGAGTCAATGTGAGTGTCCCACTT